GGGAAAACATTTCAAAGTGTCGTTTCAATTCTATTTATTTATTGGAGTGTTTGTGGATACACGATATTTTTTGTTTTTCCGTCTGATGCGTACACGAATAAATCAGAAGCTTTTCCGACGCGTGAACAGGCCACATACAGTTGTACTGTACATGTGAGAAGCACGGATTCTTTAAATTTAGCCCACACACAGAGATTGTTAGAAGTGCGATATTCCTCATTTTTATATATATTTTTAAATCCTTTATAATTTTAATTATTTAATTGCTCCTTCCTCTCTTCCTTGGCATGTTGTGAAATTTCTGATAGTTGGATAATAAAACGTTTTATTGTAATTTGTCTTTTTAAATTATTTTGAGTCAATATTAAAATTTGGAAAAGGGGGGATACCTAGATCGATAAAATACGTGAATTTCTTCCTACAACTTCGGTTGTTAAGAGTTCGGGGTACAGTTAAGGTTTTTAACGAAGTTCAAGCAAATACATAATTAGCAAAAAAAAGTTGAAATAAAGTGATTAAACAAAAATTATTACAAATATCGTAAATAACANTGGGGTACAGTTAAGGTTTTAACAAAGTTCGAGCGAATACATAATTAGCAAAAAGAAGTTGAAATAAAGTGATTAAACAAAAATTATTACAAATATCGTAAATAACAGTTCACAGATGCATATATAGAGATATTTTTTGAAGGGGGAAATGATCTTCACAATTTGCATTCGATCGAACACACACTGCTCGAATGCTTGTGTAAACGCGCACCATCTATCGTAGGATAAATGCCAGAAACCTTCGTGGGAGTGTATTAAAAAATTTCACAAAGCTTCATGGCAATCGTACTATGCCAGAAACTTCACAGGAGTATATTAAACGACTTCTCAAAGTTTCACGGCAATCGGATAAACGGTGTGGTAATGCATGAAGGACACACACACACACACATTCATTTTTATATATATAGATTAATGTAATGAAAAATTGAGAAAATCTAAGTATTCAGTTTTAAAGTAATACTGCTTATTTAGGAAGAAAGACTTCTTTGGAATCCAAATTCTGAAATAAGAGCTTCGAGATTAAAAAGATACACAGTGCCTGTTGTTTATCAAGAAGAATTTGAATCTGAAAGGTAATTATTGATTTTTAGAACATTTCTTAGTCTATGTTTAATGTAGAATAACGCTAAAATTCTATTTATAATTTTATCAGAATTATTCCAATGCTATATAAACATTATAGAATTACTTTTTGATTTATTTGGATTTTAGAAGTTTTATCTCCTTCAAAGTTGACCATTGTGAGAAATACACTTAATTTCTGAAAACTTTGATTAATATAAATGACACAAGGCTTTTTTTACATCTATTTAATTCTGTTTTTATTTGCTGAAATGTGTTTTGGGTCCTTGCCCAAAACATGTCTTGGCAAATGAATAAAGAGAATTAAACAGATGTACAAAAAGCCTTGTGTTATTTATATTATCTCTTGTGAGAAATAATCAAATAAAAAAATCGACACTGTTTATATAAAGAAGATTCTGAAATATTAAGCTAATCTAGAAATAAAATATTTTATTTAGATTATGGCAGCACGTATCTGCAGCTATTTTACGTGGCGATCAAGTAGCAGCTACTGAAGAAAAAACAATTTTGGAAGAAGCACAGAGGAAAGCCGCCAAAGAAAGGCAAATAAAATTAGAAAAATGGACACCTAAATTATTCCTTTTAGATTTACTTATTGGTGGTTGGATATATAAACATGCTGAGTAAGTTGATTTTTCTTAATATGCATCTGTATATTTTCTTAATATGCATCGGGACCAATATTCAAAGATACTATTCTACAGACCAATTCTAACTTTATTGGAACATTTTTTCTAAAAATTATGTTGCTTTCTTACTTTTACAATATACATAACATATTTTATCTTTTTCCATCTTCAGTTATTAGTAATCATAGAAAATGCATAGGTTTTAAAAGTTACAAATAAATGGTCTGTTTTATCATCAGTTTTTCTATTAATCAACATGTTTGATATCAGTTGAAGTATTTCTACATCACACGCAACTTTCATACGACACAACTGGCAGTAAGCATGCTATACGTTGAATTTAGAATATTGTAATAAATATATTAATATATCACTCCTTTAATGGTGGGGTGAATCCTATTTGGCTTGTATACCAGTGTTCTCATTCATGAAGTTTGCCAGCTGGGTGCCAGAAAAATCATCTGGGCAGGGGGCTCACGGAGAAGTATATGAACAAAAGATGTGCCCTTTTTATGTTCTTGGAGTTTATGTTTACCAGAACACATTCAAAATTTTAACAAATAATTGATCTGTTGGATCTAACATCTGTATGTGAATATATCTAAAATTATTTATTTACTGTAGACAGGTGAAAATATGTAAAATCCTGATATGATGGATAATTTTTCTTTTAGAATGCAACTTTGAAATACATTCTTTAAACTTGATATAAAAAAATATTTCTAGAATGTGTTCACATGGACAACAAAAATAAGAAAAAATTTTCATAAATATTTATTAATTTTTGATAATTCCAAAATAACAGGACTTTCTTTTATCATAATTAAGCCACTGATAATCTCAAACTGGGACTTCAAAGCTGTTGTCAATAACCTTGTTCAAGATAGAATAAGGTTATTTATATGATGGAAGTCTACCTGGCATCCTTATTGATCACTTGGCAAAAAATAATTCTGGGGAGAATACTGTATACCAAAGTCAAAGCATAACTATAGAACAAGCTATTATTTTGCTCATGTGCTGTTTATAAGAATTTCCTGATTATGTGATGTGTTTAGTATGGCAGCCTCTTGTAGTGTTATGTATGATGCTCTTGTGAAGCCTTTGTTTCCCTACTTCTGTACAGTGTATATAGTATAATGTCTGTGCAAAAAAAGGTACTTATTGTGCTAGTAGTACTTATCCATTCTCCACTAATGGTTTACTTATCAGTGTGGGTCTGGGTGTCTATAATGTATGTGATGGTTGATTTGTTGGGATGTATTCCCCACCTGACTTTTTGATTTTTTAAGAATTATGGAGTCAATATTTTTACCTCATTTTGGATTTGAGGAAATCACTTTTATTCTCTATCCTGGTTTAAATGCTTTTTGGGATGTCTTCATCTCATCTTCAGATGAAACCATTCCAGTATTTGATTTGAATTAAATGTGGAATGTGTTTTTAAAAAGCTGTGTAAAACATGAATGACATGTTCTCCTATTGCCATAACAAATTTGAACATTTAAAGTTTTTGAAACCTTTCCAGTATATGATTTTAACCAACTGAAGATGAGATGAAGACATCTCAAAGTGTTTAACCAGGATAGAAAATAGAAGTGATTTCTTCAAACCCATAGCAATATATAAATCAAAATTTTACCTTGCTGTCTGAAAGTATGGTTTGATTCATAGTATATTTTGTATATGTTGTTTTCTATGTGACACCAACAAAGTCTTAAAATATACAGTTTAACCTGCTTATAACGTCATCCATGGGACCGGCAATTTTTTGACGTTATAACCGAGTGTTGTTATCTGCGGGGTCATAATTTCAGTCCCATAAAAGTATCAAGTCTGTTTAAGAATCTATTATAAAATTCATTAATTTAATATCGTATGTATAAAAGTGCAAACTAAATATTTAAATCAACTTTATTTACATTATTATGTCTAAATTTACAATGATGTAATTAAAAATTTCAAAAATCATTTTTTATAAGAAATTTTTATTTGTCAAGTTTCGATAATGGCGGCACTTTCGGTTTTGTGAATAATGTTGAATCAAAAGGCAACAAAAAGTTGAATTAAGCAAGAAGCATACATCTGTCTTTTTTTCTTCCACTTTCAACTGCTTTAATTATTTCTACTTTGCAGTCTAATGTTAACTCTTTCCTTTTTAAGCTAGCCATTTTACCTGATTTGATGCTAAACTACAACACGAGTATGAGAGCTATGCAGACTAACTGTCACGTTGTTTAAAGGGGTGGCGCATCTCACCCCACCGAATCAGGTGATGACAGTACCACCCACAATTGTTCTAGGAAGCGGATTCTGACCCAATGACTGAACACGTAGTATTTTCTTTCATAAATAAAATTTATAATTTAATTTTGTAAATTTAAGAGTGCTTCAAATATGACGTTAAAACACGGTTTTATGTCATTACAAGTGGGTTTTTTAACATTATCTAGTATAGTAAAATCGTGGGACCGATAAAAATTTGACGTTATATTAGGGTTGTCGTTACATCCGATGTAGTTATAATCAGATTAAACTGTATTTGCTGGTTTAATTTTAATATAAATGACAACCACTGTCAATCCTAATTGGGATCACTTCAGGTAAAACTTGGGTCAAAACATTTGATAAAAAATTAGAATGCTACTAGAACAATTTTAAAATCGCTAGAACAATTAAATATTTAACATCAACACATCTATGTGATTTTTGTATACTTGTTTAACACTAAAAATAAAAATTAAAATTAACGATAACATTAAAATAACAAAGAATTTTAAGTGAATATTAACATAACATTATTAACATAAAAAATTTTGAACATATTTCTGTTAAAAAAATAAAAATCAAATCTTTGTTACAAATCCTATTAATGTTGTTGGGATCATCAAAAAAGGACCTCCAAGCATGTGAGATGTTTGCCTCCACCTTGGCTTGCATGTTGGCTTTACAAATTTCAAGAGCTTCAAAAATTCAAAAATTTTGATCTGATTGGTTGAAAGATGCATCTAATGAGAACTGACCTGATGTAGTTTAGCTTCCACACCAGTTTCAGAAGCATACATTCAGAAGTGCACCTTTCACACTGATCAAATCAAAATTTTGGAAGCTTTTGAAATTTGTAAAGCCAAGAAGGGGAATGTATCAACTTTAAGGAGGAGGTGAACATCTCACATGCTTGGAAGTTCTTTTTTTGATGATCCTGACAGCACTAATAAGAAATAAAAATCAATTACTTCTGTTAGGATTTGTAGCAAAGATGTTTACCAAAATTTTTTATGTTGTTAATGTTAATGTTAACAGACAGATGTGATTTTTTTTTATAATTGTTGGAATATTTAATTGTTAACACAGACATGATTTTTATACTTGTTCAAATATATTTAATCCTTCCAGTGAATTTAAAATTATTCTAGTATCATTCTAATTTTTTATTGAATATTTTGACCTGAAGCAGATCCCACTTAGGATCAAAAGCACTTGTCATATTAAAATATATTTGTTGGTTTAATTTAAGGTTTTGTTAGTGTCATTTACTAATATACAACCAGTTGTGGGAAGATTTAGATGTCTGAGGTATGTATTTATAGTGTGGTTTGTGTTTGTGTGCAAACTGACAATGTAGTATAAAAGCTTGTAGGAGATTTCATAATATCTATGCAGAAAGCCATTTTAAAAGATAGTAGTATTAAAAATCATGGTATAAATACATCATGAACCCTTTATGGAAAAAACTAACCACTGAAGATTATTTATACAGACCGAATTCTAATTTATGTAAAAAATTTAAAGTTTCTGAATATTTTATTTTCAAATTTTTAAAGGTTAAATTATTATTAAGTTTTAAATAAATATATATACAGTATACAATCAAAAAGTTCTCATACTATGCACATTTTCTTTTTACTAATACAAATAAAGTTGACAGTTTAGGAAATAGGATTCTCCTATATCAAAATTTTTTCCCAATTGTGGAAACTTACAGAAAGATCATTCTCTTGCAGGCTTCTCAAAACTTTCAGACATTTTTGTTTGAGTATCTTCATATTAAAGATGATGCTAAAAGATAAAGGAAAAACTAATTTGGGGATAAATCTGGAGAATTAGGTGGCTGAGGAAGAACAGGATTGTTTATTTTTGGCCAAGAAAGAAAGAACCAAACAGGGTTGTAAGTTTGTCAGTGTTGGAATAAAGCAGTGCAAAACATGGGCAATCTGTCAAAGGGAAATGCCTTTTGGGCGGAATTAATGGGAAATTAGCCCTACTTAGGTGTTAGAAATGTGAAGAAAAATTGAAAAACTCCATGTTGCCCACACATTGATTGTGGGCATAAATCCACCCACAACCAACTTCTGGTGTTGACTAGTGTTTCATTTCCAGATCAACCTGCAGACCAGAGTTTCATTGCCAGTTATCACTATGTGCCCACATCTTATTGTTTTTAGCAGATTTATGTTTCTGGGTCAATATCCAAGAATAAACTTGTTTGATCTTTTTAAAAATCTCAATATGTACTGTATTTACTCACATATAAGGCGACCACGCATATAGGACGAGGTGTGACTTTAATTTTCTTTAGTTTGATCTTTAGATTTATTAATACAATTCTAATTTTATTTCATTTAATCACAAATAAAATATTATCAAATGCACATAAATACATACATTGTCTTGCAAAAATTACTGGCATTTTAAACTTTAAGGAAAAATCTTGTAAAATCAACAACATAATTTGTTCATGTAAAGCTGGACAATTGAGAACCTTTTTTTGCCAATTCTTAAGTTGAATCCTCTCTCCATTGATTATACTTATAAGTTTCTCCAAATTCTGATTTTTGAATAATCATGTTTTCATGTGGGAATGGATTAAAACTTATATTGTGCTCCCATGTGATTTTGAAATTTCAATCAGGAATTCAATTCAAAAACTTTGCTTTTCCTATTGCTATTAATCTTTACTCCTGACAATACACAAGAATAATTGAAACGACACAGATAAAATACTTATGTCTTTAAACCCTAGAAGGTGAGCATCCAGTAAAAAATGCAAATACATGGCTCACAAAAATTATCTGCAAAAATGCAAAGAATCTTTTGCTCGCACGTATAGGATGACCTAAAAATTTGAAGCTGTGATAAATGAATAAAAACCTTGTTTTATTAGGGGCAGTCAAATGAAAATGAGACAGACTACCAACTTCCGTGTCACACTTGTTATCTAATGCGCAGGTAGGTGTGTATATAGAAGTGCCCTCTATTAGGAATCAGTGTGAATGTTCACCACTGTGCCATTTGTCTGTTAGACGTGCTAGAAGTGAGGTCGGCGAGTCGTGTATGTGTCCAACATCACTATGGATGTCTGCTGCTTGTTGACTTTCTGGAACAGGGCACCAAAATTAATGCACAGTGGTACATAGAAACTTTGGATTTGATGGCACGCTTCAATTTTTGCGGAATGTTGACAGACACATCATTCTGTTGCGGAATGTTGACAGACACATCATTCTGTTTTCAGGAATGTTGACAGACACATCATTCTGTTGCAGGATAATGCCCACCAACATGTTACCAAGGTTATTTTGACTATGCTGCCAAAGTTCCCAGTGAAACTTCTGCAGCATAGTCCATACACATCCTACATAAGTCCAGATTTCTCCCCATACGATTTTCATGTTTTTGGAGCCCTGAAGAAAGACATTCGTGGCCGTCAATTTGTTTCGGAAGAAAAGGTGCATGCCTGGGTACAATCATGGTTCCGTAGGCAACCGCAAACATTTTTCTATGAAGGCATTGACTATCTTGTCTTACAGTGGGATAAATTTTAAAAAGTTATGGCAATTACTTTTGAAATAATAAACAGTTTACTTACTTTTTTCCCATCTGTCTCATTTTCATTTGACTGCCCTTAATATATGCGAGTAAATATGGTAATCAGTTCAAACACCATTATTTTCTAGGAATTATCACATTCACAGACTCCAAAAATACTAGCCAATTAAAACTTTATTTCACCCAGATGCATTTTGGAAATTACAATATTTCTGTCAGTGAGTTTTCTTTCATACAAGCTAAACAAGGCACAAATACTTTTTCTATTTTAAAAAACATAATTCTGTGTTTTTTTTTTATTAAACTTGCTTTATTATCCACAGTCCTTAGTCATTACCCTCCTCATTCATCAACACTCCTATTCTATTGTTTGCTCTTCTTTTTTTAGCCAAAATCATCATGGATGATGCATTGATTTTCAGATATCAAATTTTTAACAGTTTTGTCTTGTCTCACTGTTTTTAGGCATCCAGGTCTTGGTCATCCATAGCTTAGTTGTGCCTCTTTAATTAAATCTCTTGTATCATTCAAATGCTGCAATTCTTTTATTGAAACTTTGAAACTTCTCCAAAAGCTTTCAATGGCATATTTCCAACATATGCATTGCTTGTGTAAATCTTTTTATTGAAAATCATGGAAATTGATTTTGCACATGCTTCAAATCAAATTTTCTAGAAATATAGATGCTGCATATGATTATTGTTGCATCCATAGTAAAGTAAGTTGTTCTACTTTTTAAAACAAACTTTGTTTTATAAATATATATGTAGAATCCATTATATGTAATAATTAATTAAAACAAAATAGATAAAAGTACAACTCTAAATATTAAAATAATTTATAATTTGTTTATAGTACTCGACCTTGGGATCCAAGGAATGATGTGCTACAGTATGAATATAATTATATTATACAAACAAAAACACGTCACAGAACGCCAGTAGTCCGAACTAGTAGTATAGTTAGCGGTGGAGAAGAATTATCGTCAAAGAAAGATCTTTTGCACATGTCGGTCGAACACGTTATTACTTCTAGACCGTCAAACTGTTTTCTGCAGGAAAACAGTGTTATTCATAGACCAAGTGTTTTATCTCATGGTAGTGAAAGTTCTTCACCAGATGTTGAAGTTATTCAGAATAGTGATTCTACAGAAAGTAATGGTAAGCATAATAAATTGAGTATTTTAATATTTTCTAAATATTAAAAATATGTTGTCATTACTAGAAAATGGCTTCTCTAAACTTTGATTAAATTCATTTTTATAATGACAATGAAATTAATCTAACAAATTAATAGCTTTAATACAAGCTTTTCCCACTTTACATCAGTAATCTATTTCTGGAAAATGCTGAGAGTTTCTCTTTTATTTTAAACAAGAAAAATTATAATGGATTACAATACCTGTATATAATGTACTATAGGGAAAAAATTGTAAATAAATATATATATATATATTTATATAAACTTAGAAACCAAAACCAGTGAATAGCTAACAGTAGAACAAACTAATGTAAAATCGAACACTGCATGTGTTTGTTTATTTATAATTATTTAATTATTTTAGAAATAAAAAAAAACACATTGATCTTTGCCTGTGAGTAATTAACAAATAATGTAAAGTAAACAAACACTCAAAGAGAACTGTTTGAATTTGTTTTGACACACAGAAATTTCCTGCTTTGAAAAATTATATATACTCGAGAATAAAATGCCATCTGGTAGTAAATATGTGAAACACAGTCTAAATAACATACAGTAGTGTAGTGCAATCTAGCAATGGAATTTTTTATAAAAATTGTACATTTTTAGTGATGATAAATCATCATGAAGGTATTTACGAAAACGTTCATGATATATCGTCAATTAAGTATTTAAAGGTTAAATGGAAAAACACTGCATTCCAAAATTGTACTATCTAATATTTACTGTATGGTTTCAAGGGAAATATTCTTGGTAAATGAAATAACTGTTTTTACATGACTAAAAATTAAGAATGAATTTCATCAAACTTTTGAAAAGTACATTTAATGAATCAGAAGATATATATTAAGGATGCATTGGCCTTTTCTCCAATTAATCGGTTTTAATACTCGGCCAATTTTGCATTTTAATATTTTTGTTAGAATGTTATGTATAAGGCTAGTAATAAAACATAATAATTATATAACAGAAATTTATTATTTATTACATGTCAAAGACCAACTTCAG